TTCTATAGAAATAAACTGAAATGAATTGTAAATATCCTTAGTACTCATAAAGTGATCAGAGCCAATTTTGCATTTTCTCTGGACATAAGCCAGCCTTAACTCTAACCTGAGCCTAAACTCAATTCACTCAGAGCAGTGATTCCCAACAGGAGGTACGCGTACCCCTAGTGGTCTGTGTGTGCATTGCAAGGGGTACATGAAAATAGATTATTTGTTAGGTAGTAAAATAAAATAGGGCTATTTTGATTTATCGGGGCCCGATTGAAAAATTTAACAAGCTTTTATCAACCAAAAATGATGTTTTTCTTACATGTTTGAGTTCACCAAAACAAACAGCCTGTTATTAGATGTTTTGCACACTGAGCTATTGGAGCTCATTAAAGCAGCTCAGGTGTCACGATGAAACAAAGTAAACCTAATTAGGCCAGCCTGACTATAATTTTAGTTCAATATTTTGTTCCCAATTATTCAAGTTTGAATGTAATTATAAGGGAGTTACTTAGAGGAGCTCCTCTTTTTATAAATACAGGTTTAGAATAGGATTTATTTTGTACATATTATGATTCCTTACTAACTTCCAGGGAACATATTTACATAGTTTTTTATTTAAGATGAAAATAATAAAATGCCTAAGAATGAAATTTTCAGGATAAAAGATTTAGTAAAACAGTTTCTGTTTTATAAGCAGTAGAATGTCTTCACTTTGATAAAAATGATCCTGAGTTTGATGTTGAGATGGAAAAAGGGTCCTCACTTTGATGCTAAAACAAAAACACAGACAGATAGACAGACAGACAGACAGCAGCCAGGTTCATACCCGTAGAAACCGCTGCTCATGTAGTAGAGGACTTCTTTATAACGCAGAGGATAATCCCACACCTGGACATCTGTCACCTGACCCTCGAAACCTGTGAAATCAACGACAGCCTCACCCGACCACACGAACTGGACACACACACACACACACACACACACACACACACACACACACACAAAGCAAATTTGATGTTGGAGACAGGAAATACATCAATAAGCTTGACATTAAAATGCATTAAGCTGTACAGATGCATCATGATGAAGTAGAAAATCATAACAAAGTATATTAAGAAAGTCTTCAACCTCCTTCACTCTCTTCATATGTGACTATAATTTCATCATCCAAAAACTACAGATAT